GTTCGAAACGGCTGCAGCCAATCAGGGACGCAATATTTTCATGTGACACCCCTGTGGTGGTGATGATGACAGCTATAAACTTGATTCTGGTTTGAAATGGATCGTTTTTGGAAATAAACCTTTTCAGAAAGATGAGTTAGTATTCTCAACACCATTCAAAGGTATAAAAACACCTTTTTAGCGCGTAGCTGTGCGTCTAAATAGTGTAAGAAAAATCAAATTTCATGATGAGGATAGCAAGTCCGAGCAATTCGGTTGCTGCGTGTGAACGCGGGCGGCCCGTGTTGCTGGAGTTGCTACGTCAAGTTGCTGGGCGAAATTGCCCAGTCGGAAGCGGGCCTTACAATTCTACTACCTGATTGCCGTCCGCGTGCCTCGCTTCCCGCCGGTGACGGCACGTTTGGATGGCGGGGAAAACTGGGGAAAAACTAGGGAGAACGAAGTTTCGGTTTCGGTTGCGAACAAAATATCAATTTTTTAATTAACTAGAGTGAATCAAGAGGAACGAGGTAGCATTTCGGAATCAGGAAGCCATCCGCATTCAGATAATGCCTTTTTATTCGGTAGTTAAAAAAATCAGCAGCTCCCCTTTAAATCCTAACTTGCATCGCGTTCGCTCGAACTAGTGTGTGGGACTCTAACGACGCATTAAAAATATTATAAAGAAGACATCTGATGTATTCTGAACATAATAGGTGAAAGAAGTTCAAAATTTTGAGCACATTTTTGGTGATGACATTATTGGTCTGAACCAATAGAGAACCAAAACGACAAGAGCGCGCAACAACCATGCGCTAAGTAACATCCAGTTATGAAGATGTGAACGCCCCACCGTTTTGCGGGTGTTTCAAGCAAAACTTTTAGTGAGAATTACGCGCTGAAAGGATCAGAAGGGGTCGCGTGCACCGATTCAGGCAGTCCTACCGCTAGAAGTTTGTGTCGTCATTATCCGACGCTCTAGACCAATGTCGTCACTAAATGCTCGTGTTTGACACTGAGAGGTACGCCCTTTGAAGCAGCATTTGGATTTCTTAGTACCCCATTCACACGGTCAACATAAAGGTACCGTTAAAGGGCTACTCCACCGTTTTTTTCATTGTATCCGATTTGCTTGAAATTTTGCTAAACTAACCAACAAACATTGCTAAAATAGTATCCCAAATATTAGGTCAAAATATTGTTTTTTCGCGAAGTTATTGAATTTACAGTTTTGGTCTTCACCATGTTTTTCAAACTGAAAGTCTCTACTGGCAACAATGAAAAAGTGACGTCAGTGGAAGGCAGGGGTTAACTTTTTGGACTACAGAAGTTGTTCCCAACGGATTTGAAGCAGTTTCTTGGTGTCAAATGAGTGCTTTGGAAGCTCGCACCCGTATCCGCGCTCCAGCACGGAACAAATGATTGGCATATTCTATTTTTAGAGTACTTGCTCGACTGGCAAGCCTGCCTGCCACTGACGTCACGGCACTGAAAAGTGCGCGAATATTTGAATGTTGGTTTTTGCACCATTTTCATTTGCCGATTTCACAATACCTATTATGAGTTTCGCCATGCTAAATAGCATACCGGAAAGGCTAAAGGCCGGGGAGTCAGAAAATATAGTTAGTTGAAGTAGCTCAAAAAATCGGTGGAGTACCCCTTTAACATAGGTCCCTTTGCTATCGGCGAATCAGCCGGTGCTCTTGGGTCGCGAGCACGCGCCACGCCCAGAAAATCGTGAACTGATTAGCCGCAAAGAATAAATTAAGGTCCCTTAGCTAAAGGTAGGGACTTTCCGAGCAAAGTACTACTTCCAACTTCAAGGTACCCATTCTCCAAAATTCATCTTGTTAATTTTGTATCACAAATTGATGCTCTGTCAAAAAGAAAAAAAAAAAAAGAAAGGAAAAAAGTCTGATAAATTGATTGTGTTAAATAGGTATTCAGCGAATGTAAAACAAACAACTCTGTGGTCACTTCACTTTCTCCACTATTCGCCGCCATTTCCGAAAATAACTGTTATGCATTCCTGATTACCCCCGGGGCAATGCAAATCAGTTAGGGGGAAAAAAAAAAGAAGAAAAAGAAGAAAACATTGTTTAGGGGAATGAAAGGGCACCATAAACGATTGCGTTAAAATGTTACTTTACTCTGAAGGTACAGTGCTCGTCGCACTTGTCTCTAACGCGGGAGCGCGCGCCTTTCTCCGAAGAGCGCTCAACTGGTGCCGTGTGTGCCGTATGCTTTTGATGAGGCGGGCGGGGCATCCCTCGGGCGGATTGTTCCATGTTGCCCCACGTGACTAGATTAGTTGTCGCTTGATTGGCGCTGTGCATTGTATTTATACTACTCTACTTCGAGTACTCTGCGCCCGGTAGACTCACTACTTTACCTGACGTATACATAACCTCTCATTATGTTTTGCACTTCAATTACTTTTTAAATGTTCTTTACCTAACACCGAATTAAGGAAAGGCGTTTAATAACGCACGACCCGGCCATGCTTAATTTGTGAACTGTTTGTATGTTTATCTCGACCTTCCCACCCGACGTGCACATTCCAGAAATTGGCAAATTAAAAATATGAATATAAATGAATGACGAAAGAAAATGAATGAATGAATGAGATGTACAACGTGGTGGTCTAGAACTAACCCGTGTATGCCACATGGAGCATGCATGACGAAGATAGCTGCAACAGAATGACCGTCTCGCGCCGTCCAAAGTCGACAGACCGCGTTGGTCTCGCGTCTCATGTTCGTGACCTTCGACGCCGTCGCCTATTTTATAACTGTTGGTTGGTTCTGTTACGTGAGAGATTTCCCACACTTGGTGAGGTTTCCTGGTCATTTGATGCTCAATTTTATCCCCAACGCTGAGAGACCTTTTCTTTTTCTTTTTCTTTTTTTTCTTTCTTTTTTTAGGTTGCAATGGTATTTTAACACGTTTCAATTTCTGCGAAGGGTTCCGATGCTTATTTTGATGGAAGCTTTGCCGAAAAAAGCGAGCATAACTCCACTGTCAAACGCAAAATATTTATAATCCAACTGCAAAATAATTTTCAACTATTTGCGATATAACGCGGACTTCAAATGTAAAGTTGGTCAAAACTGTGAATAGCTCATAAGCCCTTGCCCACGCTCGCCCGGCAATAATCCTTCGAAATGGTCCCGATCTGCATTTCACGCTTTCTCGATCTTCGAGGGTTTGTCGATTGCTTGTACGGAAGCCGTCAACTAAAACACGCGTAAACTATTTAGCAAAATACCTTCGTTACGAGACGCTCGCCATTGTTAAGTTCATTAATGATCTTCTAAACATAAACAGGCCAGAAAAAAAAAAAACATTCCGATATAAATAAGTAATATATACGTTTAACCGGTTTAAGGGGTAACATGGGTCTTTGGAGCCAAAAACTTCGTAATTCTGCATTCTTTTGAAAATGGCGATGGCTGTCGTTCTTCTGAATCTACCAGGCTTATAAATTTATAGATGAATATTTGAGCTATAAATCACTTTATAACTCTGTGCGGGTTGAATGTGCATCAAAGTTGACTCTAAAACATTGTTTTCACAAAACACAATTTTTGGACTCGTTGAGAATTTGCAGGAAGGATATCTCATCATCTAGAGCAAATAGAAATGTAACTGTTCCTGAAATGTGTAGCTGAACATGTGAAGCATACAATGTTGAGAGCAGAATTTTTGATATAAATCTAGAAAATTTTATATTTGATCTTTTGCTTTATTACTTGTTAGCCATGCATTGAGATATGAACTTCAATGTGAGGTAAAATCACTAATAATGAGTTTTTCTTAAAAGTGCTTCCAACATTGTATTCTCTACACTTCGTAGTATCTAGCCATGTGTTAAAAAGAATATTTTCTTGAGCAGTTTTTTTTTTTCTATCGTTTTTCCAAACAAAGGCAGGCAAGTTTTAATTATCTTGAGGACAATTCTACTGGCTGAGAAAGTGACCAGATATATGAAATCAGCACAAAAAGCTGAACAAGCCTGTGCAGTTTCATTGGGTTTGGTCATAAAATAAGAAAAAAAAAAGCTCTAAGACCAGCAAAATTATTTTCTTCTGGGTTCTTTTTTGGAAACCATGAGCAAAGCTTTTAGTAGTATTTCAACCTTACAAGAAACAATAATAAAAAAAATAAAAAAAAACTACGGGAACGCCTTTTGTGTTTAGATATTCCCGTGTGATTTAGAATAGTTCTGGTGTCCCGCCTTAAAATTATACTGGTACAAATTTACATCGTGAAATTGTCAAGGATTGGGTGAAAATTTAACCTCTTTAAAAATATCATGGGTACAAATTTACGTCGTGAAATTGTCACGGATTGGGAGAAAATTAATAAAAAAACAAATTCTATCTCCGTCTGAAAATAAAATAGATGCTAAGTTCGGACCGGTGACACGCGATGAGGTCCACGCCCGGTGTGGAGTCAGCGGAGAGGGCGGGGGCTAAAAATATGGAGTACCTCGGCAAATTGCTGACGTAAACACGTCAACGCGGACAAACCGGAAAGAGCTCAGACCCTGAGTGAAATGTGAATTCACCAAAAAAGTCACCACACACGTACAAAAAAAAAAAAAAAAGAAACAACAACAACTTAAAAGTGTGCTTTTTTTACACACACACAAAACAAAGATGAATAAATAAAGAGTACTGAAATTTGCGTGACAGACGCGCTTTTTGGTTTCAATCGTGATTTTTTTTTATTTATTTAAATTGTGCAATATGCCGACGAAATAAAGAACTGGATCGATGAAACTAATCTGTCCGCTTAAGTGACTCTTGTGAAACCTTGCTTAACTTTGTGCGGATTTCAACACTTGATTTTTGGTCGTATTGA